TTGATTTCTCTGAGAAGAGAAACTATTCCTCAGAATGAATTTAAAAGCCACCAGAATTTCTAGCAAAGGCCCTAAAAGATCAATTTATGAAGCTAGAAAAAATATTTGAAGTTGGATCATTTGACAGTCTTGCCAATTATACTTCCAATCTCTCTCAAACATAGATCCACCTCTCTGCTCACACTGCCACCACTGTAAATCAGGGTCTCATTAACTCTTCCTTGAACTTTTCTTACTACGCAGCTGCTCTGTCCTCATCCTTCATCCCAATCTATACTTCTACCAAAAAATCTTACTAAATGTACATTTCTGACCTCATTTTCTTTTCACCCTTTCCAAAATCTTTCAATGGTTTCTTATTACATAATGGGAATAAATACAAGCATTTAAACCTCTACAATCTAGTTCTAATTTACATTTCTAGCCTTATTTTGCATTATTCCACTTCAGTTTTAAAATTTATTACTATCTGTTCTCTGTACATTTATGGATACCTAACGTGATCTCATCTCTGCCTTCTCTTCCTCAAGGCTCAGCTCCAGTACAACCTCTTCCATGAAGACTTCTTTGGTTTCCTTCTTTAGTTGAAAGTGAACTCTTCACAAGAGCTACTTCCAAACAGATAAATGGTCAAAGGATATGAAAAGGCATCAATAGCATTGTAAAAAAAAGCTCCAAATCACTAATCATGAAAGAAACAGAAATTAAAGCAAGTCTGAGGTTACATCTTCCATTAGACTAGAAAAGATGACAAAAAAATAGAAAATAAAAACTGCTGAAGGGGTTGCTCTGAATTGGTCCAGCAATAAGCTCATATACTCCTGAGGAAGTCAAACAAAGAGGAAAAGGAGCTATATGCACAAAAATAATTATTGCAACTCTTTACATAGCAGCAAAACCTGAAAACTAAGGAGGTACCCATAAACTGGGGAATGGATAAAAGAAATTATGGTACAGGAATATAATGAAATAGTATTGTGCCATAAGAAATGGTGAAAGGGAGAGTTTCAGAGAAACCTAAAACCTGAATGAACTGATTCAAGATGAATGAACAGAACTCACTTTATATAATAGTTTATATTTATATGTAATAACACATAATAACGTTACATAAAGACAACTTTGAAAGACTTGAGATCTTTGATCAACATAATGACAAACCATGATTCCAGATGAAACATGCTACCTACCTCCTGACAGAGTGTTGATGGATTCAAGATGCCGAATGAGACATATATTTTTGGATATGTCCAGTACAGTAATTTGCCTTGCTTGACTATGCATATTCATTATGAGGGTTTGCTTTTTCTTGTGTTTACTTGGAGGGAAGATGGAGGTTGAGAGGGAAAAAATGTTTATTTCAAAAAAATGACAATTTTTCCCCTTTAAATTATTATTAATGTCTTGACAGCATAACCTATATAATTCTTCACCTTTGTATTGCCAGAGACAATATGAGATCAAATGAAAATCTGATCAGGAGCAAATATAAAATGCTCTTTTGGGCTTTTATACTCCTTCAAAACATGGCTGCCCCTTCCTACCTTTCCAGTCTTTTTACAATATATATAGCTTCAATTCAACAAACAAGAGCTTTTTCGTTCATTAGATAATTTAGGCCTTTAAGTCTCTATTCAAAAGATATATTATAAAAAAAAAACATTCATCCATAGCTGTTTACATAATTTCATTTCAACAAGTAGAATGTAAACATCCTCATAATGGCGGAAGCAGAACCAGTAAACCACAACTAACACTGAACTGAGAAATCAGAAGCCATAAATTTAGAGAACCAGCAGTACGTAATTAAGAACATTGGATTTAGAGTCAGAAAACCAGGTTTGAATCCTAGCTCTGCTACATGCTAGCTGTGTCAAAGTGTAAGTTACAAGTAATCTCTTTGGGCCTCATCTGTAAATAAGCAAGTTCTCATCTATAAAACAAAGGGGTTAGACTAAATGATCTTTAAGGCACTTTCCAGCTTTAAAACCTATGATCTTAGTACGGACTTTGCTACTTACAAATTCATAACTGGGCAAGTCACAGCCTCTACAATCCCTTAGTTTCCTCACCCATAAGAAGGGACTACATATTACTTTACAGATTTCTTACTTTTTTTCAAAATTATTTATTACTTAAAAAAAAACATTTAGAGTTCCAAATTCTCTCCATCCTTTCAGTCCTTCCCCTACCCACCGAGAAGGCAAGCAATATATCTATTATACATGAGAAATCATGCAATATTTCCATATTATTCCAGCTGCCGAGAGAGACAGAGACAGAGAGAGAGAGAGAGAGAGAGAGAGAGAGAGAGAGAGAGAGATTAAGTCAGAATGAAAAAAGTATGCTTTAATCTGCACTCAAAGGTCATCTAGTTCTGTCTCTGGAGGTGGATAGTATTTTTCATTATGGGTCCTTTGGAATTGTCTCCAGTCACTGTATTGAGCAGAACAGCCAAATCTTTCACAGTTGATCACTGTTACAATACTGCTATTACTGTGTACAATGTTCTCCTGGTTCTGCTCATTTCACTTTGCATCAGTTCATCTAAGTCTCTCCAGGTTTTTCTGAAACCATCTCCTTCATCATTTTTTATAGCACAAAAGTATCCAATCACAATCACATACCATGACTTATTCAGCCATTCTCCAATTGATGGGCACCCCCTCAATTTCCAATTCTTTGCCACCACAAAACAAGCTGCTATAAATATTCATAATTATTTTCCTTTTTCTTTGACCTCTTTGGGATACAGACCTGGTAGTATACTGATTTCTTGTGAAGATAAAACAGGTTAGGAAATGCAGAACAACGGACTGAAGTGTACAAGAATCCCAAGGAAAAAAAAATCTCCAGAAAGTTCAAATATTGTGATGCTGAAGTACTGGCTTCTTCATACATCAGTGAGACTCAAGGAGGAAGATGAAAAAGGGCATAGAGAGAAGTAGAATGTAAAGACAAGACAGATAAAAACCAAGGAAAATTTAGTCCAATGAAAAGAAGGACCCCTTTCAGAAAGTTTATAAATGTTCTGAAACCCTACCCACTTATTCCTAAACTTTCTCATTTGATTGATAGCACCACCATTCTTCCAGGTTCCCAGTCTTAAACCCTATTGTCATCTTAGATTCTTCTCTCTCCTAAATCTCTCTAGTTACCAACCTCTGTTATGCCTACTTTTGTAACGTTTTGCATTCAATTTGATGCTTTTCATTCCCACTGCCACATTCAGACCCTCATGACCTATCTCCTGAACTATGAAAATATCCTTTCAATTTGGTGTCCCTGGTTCCCTTTCACACTGCCTTCAAATTAACCCTCCTAGCAGCTGGTCTAACCATCTCACTCCTATTATTGACCTAGAAAATACAATATACCTACACTCTAGCATTCAAAGTCCTCCACAATCTTATTCCAATTTTCTATCATACTCTACTTCATCAAACTCAGCCAAACGGCACTATACACTCTTCATCTTAACTTTCTCCTGCCTTTGACAGGTTATGCCTGGGGCAAACTCTCTTCCTCCTCAGTCCAATCCTCCCAGAAACCCTGTCACAACTCCCTTACAATCTAGAATCCACGGTCCTATCCACTCCCCTCTCTCCCTTCATCCTGACTTTCAAACCACTTCACTTGACTTGATACCATTAGTCCTTCTCTAACTAGTATTAGGGTTAGCCAAATACACGTTTCAAACACTGACACTACCCCACCCCACTCTAAATTGTAAGATAAAGAGCAGGAGCAGTGTCAAAACTGGGCCAAATTCTTGAAGGTTCATTTGATTAAACTCCCGAACTCTTCTCCCAGCGCTATCTCGGCTCTAATCCGCCCTTATCTGCTCAGTTAGGCAGCAGACCGCTGGTGCATGGGGGCCAGAGGAGCAGGAAGGAAGTAGGTGTAACCAGCATCTCCTAGATCGTACCAGGGCCGGCGGGAGAGGAGGTGAGTCCCCGCAGGGGGAGGGAAGAAGATGTGGATTCTCAACCTCCCCAATCACCACCGAAAAGCCAAGTTCCCACACTGTCTCCCGGGAGACAGTGGAGAATTAGGAGGAGACTATAGACTGCTTAAAAAAGGAAAAATGATGGAGAACGAGTTTTTCCTCTTCTCAGGGGCAAGCCTCAAAAGGGAGACTCAACAACTTCTTTACTCATTTCTTTATTCACTTCCCCAATTCAAGTAACTCCACTGTCTCCCTATCACCTCCAGGTGAAAATATGAAATACTGTGTTTGTCCTTTTAAGTCCGGCGTAACTTGGTCCCTTCCTCAGCCTGGTCCAGTGAACTACCCCCCCCCCCCCGTCTCCTCGTTGCTCCCCATCTCCCGACTCCGGCATTCTCCCTGACTGTCCCCCCAATGCCTGGATCTGTCCCGCTCCTGCTCTCCCGCCCTCCTTCCTCGCCGTCCCCTCAGATTCTCCCCCGTATCGCCCCGCAGGTATCTCGTGGGTTGCACGACCTCCTGCCGAGCAGCAACTTTCTCGGGCCCTTCTCGGCATCCCCAGCGCTCAGCACCGCGCCGGGCGTTTAATAAACGCTACCTAAGCGACTGCCTGCTCCTTACCCCCCGGGACGGGGGACCCCCCACGCCTGGCTCTGGCGTGCACCCCAGTCCTCCCTGCCCCGCCCCCCATGACTCAGCATTTAGGCTCAGCAGCGAGCACCGCTGGCTCGCCCGCGGCTCCCCGAGGGAACGAAGTCTCAAGGCGCTCCCCCCGCCGGTCCATTCACCCCACGCCCGGCCACGCCTTCTGCGGCGTGGGCAGCGCCAAGGCATGGCCAGGATCCCGAGGCATGGCCAGCCCTCCGAGGCAGCGGACCTAGAAGGAGGCTGAAGGAGCCAAGGACCCCGCGGCTGGGGCCCAAGGAGCAGGTGGGGGCGGAGGAGGCAGGCGGGTGGGGGAGGGGAGGTCAGAGGAGGGTAAGGAGGGAGCTCCGCTACTGCCCCGCCAAGGGCAGCAGGACCATCCGCCCGCCCCTAGTCATGCCCTTGCCTGCTTCTGCTCGAAGTAGATCGTGCCTTGCACGGGGCCGTCGCCCTTCAGAACGCACACCGCCTTCAGCATGTCTCCCGGGCAAGCGAGCGCGCGCCCCTGTCCGAGAGGAGAGCTAGCAGAGAGAAGGAAAAGGTGATGCGGACACAGGAAGGCAGCCCAAGAGACAAGGGGTAAATGCGAACCCGCAGGCTACGCAGTAGCTCACTTAAGGGCACGCACTGCCGTCACTCCGCGCCTCCCCGGCTCCTGAACGACCAATCAAAATGCCCTTTCTAGCAACACTCTTCCCTCCCTCCCCAAAGGCGGCCACCAATCAGGAAGGTAGCTCACGCCGCGCCCCGTATTGCTTAGAAACCTTAGCCCTTTGCCCGCCTTAGCTTGTACTTACGGTAGAAAGAGCTAGAACCCTCGGCGCCTTCTCACGAGGTCTTCCGCGTGAGAGGTGTGTGCACTTGGCTCGCACCTCTCTCGTGGGTCCCCTCCTTGGACAGCGACAATTGCTGCAGGAATCGATCAATTAACAATGGCGCCTACTGTCACATGTGACCCACACAGCCTTTCTTCATGCTGAGCCTGTGTTCTAATGGGAGAGACTATAAGGAAATATAAAATGGGGGGAAAAAAAGTATTAACGGTTGTTGGGAAGCGACTGGTTGGGGGGGGCGGGGGAAGAGAGAAATCAGAAAAGGTCGCGGGCAGGTGCTGCTTGACCTCTGCCCTATAGAAAGAGAGGGATTCTGGGAGCCAGGGCTGAGGAGGGAGCTGGGGAGGGCCGCCTGGCAGGCGGCCTGCCAGTGCAAAAGCTCGGAGAGGGGAAATGGTGTGTCCTGTGTAAGGAACTGCGTTGGCCTGCTCTCACAGTATAGGAAGGGCAGTAAGACCCGCTAAGGCTGCAGAGGCAGGTTAGGGCCAGGTTGTGTAAGGTTTCTGAAAAGCTAAACAATAGATTTTCTCATTTATCCTTCAGGCAATAGGAAGCCAGTGGAATTTTTTTTTTTTTTTTTTTTTTTTTTTGCACAAGAGAGTCACATGATCAGATCCTTAGGCCAAGGAAAATTACTTTGGCAGCAGTGTGTAGAATGGACTTAAAGAGACATCTGAGGAAGGGCCCTGCTAGCAGGCTGTTGCGGTAATCTAAATGGAGAAGTGAATGGGGCCTGAACTAAGGTTGCAGCTGTGTGAATGAAGAGAAGGGGTGGATGGAGAGAGATGTGAGAGTAGAAAGTGCATGATCTGGCAACTCACTGATTATGTGAGGTGAGGAAGTGTGGGGTCCCGGGAAATTGCCAGGTTGCAACCCTGAAAGCCTGGAAGAATGGTGGTGTCTGACAGAAATAGGAAATTTTGGAAGAGGGGAGGATTTGTGGGGAAAGAAAATGAGTTCTGTTTTGCCCATGTTGAGTTTAAGATGTCTCTGGGTCATTTAGCTTAAAATGTCCAGTGGACCAACCAGTGATATAGTTCTGAAGTTTGGGGGGAGAATTGGGGATGGATCTATACAAGGTGTCCCCAAAGTCACAGTGCAGTTTTAAGCATTAATAACTTTAATGAGGACTTTTGGGACACCCTGTATATCTGAGTCATCTATAGATAGTTAAACCCATGGGAGCTGATGAGGTGCCAAGAAAGAGACAACAGAGAGAGAAGGCGACCTAGAACCCACTAGTGGTGTGTTAAAGCTGGCTCAAACTAGCAGTCTTATGTTAAATTTTCAGTGTGAGCACTTGCACCTTGGGAAATGGCAAACACTACAAATCAGGGCTTGATTTATTGTTTTGTATGTTGCCTAGACTTAAGAAAGTGATGGAGAAAATGTTAATAATACAGGTTGAACTTAAAAGTGTGTCAAGAGCACATTTTTCCTCATAGAACAGGTTGTTAAACATTTACCAACACATCACTGCCTGAGCCAGTTCAAGCTGTGCCCAGCATAGCCCTGGAACACCCTGCAAGTAGAGGGTGTAATGTGAATAATGAGATAAGGGAGGAGACTGAGAAGTGGTCAGGCAGATAAGAGAGAAAAAAAAAAGTCTTATGAAAATTTAGAGAAGAGAGAGTATCTAGTAAGAGAAGGCTAGTTAACAGTACCAAATACAAAAGATAGTAAATAATCATTTATTAGGTGCACTCTGTGTCCTTGGCATTGTGCTAAATGCACAGTGGAAATACAAAGCACAGCAAAAGATAGTTCTTGCTTTTCAACATGCAAACAGCTATTTGCCAACAAGCCATATACCAGGTATATGGGAAATAATCAACAAAGGGAAGGCACAAGAATTAAGAGGGATCACAAAAGACCTCCTATAGAAGGTGGGATTTTAGCTGGGACTTGAAGAAAGCCAGGGAAGTCAGGAGGCAGAGATGAGGAGGAAAGAGGTCAAGAAAGATGAAGACTGAGAAAAGATCATCAGACTTGTCAATTAAAGGATTAATGGTAATTGTGGAAAGAAAAATTTTAGTTGAGTGATGAAGTCCAAAACCAGATTGCAGAGGGTGGGGAGCAAATGAGAAGAGAGGTCATGGAGACCTCATACTTAAAAAAAAAATTAATGAGAAATAAAGGTTTTTTTAAGGGTGGAGGAGACTTGAGTAAGTTTGAAGGCAAAAAGGAAGGAACCAGTAGATTGGGAGAAGCTGAAGATACAAGAGAGAAGGGAAATAATTGAAGATACAGTCTGCTGGAGAAGATAGGAGAGAAAGGGATAAAATACACATAGTGCTGGCCTTCCTGAGAGGAGGAGTCACCTCTTGTCAGAGACTAGGGAGAAAAGAGGAGAGAGTGGGAAATGATGTCAAGGGGTTTTGAGATTAAGAGAATAGGAGACATGATGGCTTATATGAATGGCCTCATTTTCTCACTAATGCAAAAGTCAAGGTCCTCAGCTGAGGGGGTGGAGTACAAGGGAGAGATGTAGCAGATTTAAGGAAGGAAAAAAAGGTTTGAAATAGTTAAGTAGGAACTGAGAGAATCAATTTGGGAGAAATAAAAAGATTAATTTGCTTCTGTGATAGCCTGGTTGAGGTTGGATAACATGAATTTGTGGTGTATCCAATCAGCACAGCTCTAAGACTTCCTCCTGTTGCTTTCAGCAGCTAGTAAGTAGGAGAGGTAGTGCAGTATGGATGTTTGGCAAGAGATGAGTGACAATAGTCAATTTTGCTATAACATTTATTTTGAAAACTCAAACTTGTCCTAATATAATTGATATATTAAGAAACTACTGGAGCATAACTCAAATTCCAAGTCTGCTTGTGTGCTATTTTGTCTATAAGAAACCCTAGGTGAATACTGAAAAATGCATCCAGCTGAACTGAGCCATGTAGGAATATACAAAGCATACACATGCACACACTGCTGTTAGCCTACAAAGTTGTGTTTTGCTGTTCTTCTGTATTTGTGAACTTTTCTAAAACAATAGTAACAACACTCCACGCTCATCCGACATCTCAAACCTGAGTTCCATATTTATTCGTATATCTTCTGGTGCAGTAGGAGCTATGGACAGAGGATAACCACCTCATTCCACACCCCCTCTTCCCACCTTCTGCCACAGCTGAGGCTCTTATGTTATGTACCCCACCTAAAGTCATGGACTTGTCAGAGCAAGCAGCTAGGTGGCGCCATGGATAGAATGCTGGGTCTGGAATTAGAGAAGACTTGAATTCAAATCCAGCCTCAGACACTTCCTAGCTGTGTGACCCTGGGCAGGTCACTTAACATGTTTGCTTCAGTTACCTCAACTGTACCTATCTCACAGGGTTGTTTTGAGGATCAAATCAGAAAATGTTTGTAAATCACTTAGCACAGTGCCTGACATATAGTAGAAGCTATATAAATGTTTATTCCTTTACCAAGTAGCACAAGGACATACATGTCACCACTATTTATTCTTAACTACTTAACATGTATAAAACCATTCTACTTTTTAAATTGGGTTCCTATCTTTTTTTATGTCAATTTGTGTTATGGTCCCATCCCATATTTTCCATAAGCCCTGTGGTTTTTATTATTTGATTTTGCATTGTGAAGTGATTTTTAGAAAAGTATATGTGTCTCATTATAGACTATAAAAGAAGAAAAAAGGACTCAAAAAAAGAGGGCATTGTAGAGTTAAAGTGGCTAACTATTTATTGATTTGAGGCTAAAGAAAGATGCATTAATAAATGCTGTGTGGCAGAAAATTCCCTCCGGGAATTTTTTAAAAACAAACTAAAGAAACTAAAATTTAACTAAACTTAATTTTTTGAGTTAACTAAACTTATTTAAAAATAGAAACTTTTAAAAATAAGACATAATATACAATATAAGTTTTTGAGACTTTAGTTACACTAGGATATATATAACTGTTAAGTCATTAGAATACTTATAAAAGCCCAAATTTCAGGGAGAGGAAGAACAAGGCAAATTCCATCTTGGAGCAACTAACAAATCTGCTTTGAAAAGTACATTCTTATTGTTAAGAATAACTTCTGTAGGAAAAGCAAAGACTCCCAAGGTAGATGAGACAAGTTCATTTGTTCTCGCAAGAAGTTGGTGTGCTGCTAGAGGCATACACACCCCACAGAAGCAAAAGCAGGCAATTATATCCCTGTCCTGAAACATAAATATCCCTCCCTCATTTCTCCATTGGCTGGATACTTCTAGGTGTACGATTTCCCAGAACACCTACTTCATATTACTCTTTAATATTTTCTTTCCTCCCTCTACATACGACATTGGGCCTAAAATTGTGTTAATCCTCCCCCAGGGAGGAGAAGATAATATTCATAGACTCATTAAGCACGTGCAGTTTGAGCAATTTGTAACCTTTGTCTTACTTTCAGCACTTTTAACCACCCTACTAGTTTTGAAAAACAATGCTAAGTAAAACCGCTCCTTTGACACCTGTATTCGACTTTAAGACCACTTCCTCTACATCTGTGGAAACAATTTCTTATACCTTACATTAGGAAATTTCAAGGACTCTTATGAGGGAAAATATTTTAGAATTTAAAACATAGATACTGCAGTTAGAAAGTAAACACAGAAATGGCAGAGTCCTATAACTTTCTTGATATTTTGCCGCTATTGCTTAATCAAGCTTTATCACATAGAATTGGAGCAGTGCTCAGAGCAATCTGATTCTGTTTCATGTCTTTCAACAATTAAAATATGTTGGCTTATGCAACAGTGACTCAGTACCTGGATTCTGACAATTTGGAGGTTCAACTTA